GAAAAAGGTGGCTGTCAGGTATGGCAATTCCAATTTGTCACTATCACTCGGTGAAGGGAGCAATAAATTAACTGCAATTGCACAGATAAAATATTTCCGGAGCACTGACTAGCTGAATCTCAAATCAAATCAAACGCACCTGACAAGCAGCTCAGGATGCATTACAAGGTACTGTAGCAATTTCAGCCAAAAAAAAAAGACCACCATGCCAATTCATCGCAAAAAAGGAAAGAAAGAAAAAGAGAGACCACAGTGACAAAGATTCAGATAAGCGATGGTGCGTTTTAAGATCTTTCATAGGCCACGTTACTAATCAAAAACCACCATAATAACTTCAGACAAGCGCTGATTAACAAACAACACTAAACAGAGTAACAAAGTTCAGATAGATAGATAGTAGCAATACTACTAACGCATTTCACGTCTTGTAGGTAAACCAGTGAACACTATACCAACCACCATACATATATACCACCGTCAGATATATAGATAACCTATGAGCAGGTTGCAAAATAACCCCGGAACAACAACATTTATAGCATGGCCAGATAACCTGGGAGCAGCTTGCATATATATAGCATTACGACTCATTCTCATCGGTCCCGAGGGAAGAGCCATGCAGCCAGACGCATCTCATCGCAAAGCTTCCAGGAGATATAGGGATGAGGGAAAAGGACACCGTCGGATCCCATTTTATAGGCGCCGAAAGAAGTGTTCTCCCTGTCGTAGCAGTAGTCCATACGATTCTCCTCATCATCATCCAAGAAGAGGATATAATCACCAGGCAACCTGTACTGAGACACAGACATGGCCCTGGAGCACCTTCGCCCTAGAAACAGCAGTTGGTCATCCCCCACGGTCGATACCTTGACCCACCGTGAATGCTCAAAGTCGGCCTTGTAAACCTCAAACCCAGTCAGTCCAGCAACTTCAATAGGCACCGCTCCAGGTCCAGGTACCTGGCACATGATTGTCCTTCGTGCCATCAGCAACACCCCATGCGATTCAACCAGGTAAAGCTTCTTGCAGCACATAGTGTCGTCCTCAAACACAGCTGGATACCATGGCTCACCCTTGATGATTTGTCCAATCCGAGAAACCTGTGGATCGCCGGTGCTATGGTCCTGGCTGATGTTCACCACAAGGAGGTTCTCGTCATTGGCAATGGCGTAGAGCTTTCCCTGGTAGAATGCCATGTCTTCGAACCCCTTACACTGATCATAAGCACGCACTGACCACGACGAGGCCCCTGGCTGGCACATTAGAATCTGGCTGGTGTGTCCAATGCCAACCAGTGCAGCAACAAGGTTTGGCGAGCACAGGAGTAGCTTACTTATGTGCAGCTTTTCCGTATTGATATGCATCCATGTGGTGTAAGGGTCAGCAACTTTTGACCCATCCTCGAGTGACCACTTAGCGACTGCATTTGGAGGCCGGAGTCGGACGCTGGAGAGAGCAGGGAGCATGAAGGTGGCCCTGGAGAATGGATTGACCAGGAAGCAGCCGTCGTCACGTGGGAACACGAGCCAGCTGTCACAAACACTCTCGTACCCCGCGAAGCCGCAGCCAGGGAAGGAATAGAGCGTAGGGTAGAAGATGCTGTAGAAGGTGCCGTCTGGGAGCGCGAGCACCGGCAGTGGCAGGGTCAGGATCTGCCGCCTCGCGGCGTCACGCCACTGCGGGCACACCAGAGCAAAGGCGGCGCGGTCGGCGTACCGGGGGAGCCGGCTGAACACCACGCCTCCTATGTCCAGCGGGAGGTCTGACCACGGTGACCGGGGCTGCGAGCGTGGTTTCTTGTCTGCTTCCATCAGTCCTGCAGAAAAGCAACAAGATCATGTTATCGTACATCGCAACCAGTCCCAGACCCGGCAAGCAATACGTCGAACACCTGGCGTGCATAGCTAGCGGAAATGGCGGGAGCAAGGAAGAGAACTCCGGTGAGCGAGCAAAAGAGTACGCCGGACGATGAGGTGAGAAGGAAGAGGTGGGTACCGGAGAGATCGCGCCGGAGCGGGGTCGATTGGCCGTCCGCGCCGCGCTTCGCCGGTGAGCAGCTCGCCGCTCTGGCTGCTGTGCGGGTGGAGTTTTTTTTAGGGAGTGCAGCGTGGAAGCCCGAATGGGAGCGGGTGACCTACCTGTATGGCTCAAGCCAGGCCCAGCCAACCTACCTGTATGGCTCAGCCAAAATGTATTTATTTCCCATTCTTTTTCTTTTTTCCGGGGGATTTATTTCCCAATCGATTCAACGTTTGAAATGGCCGTGACCGTCTTCAACTTAACATAAAAACTACAGAATTTCTTTTCATCTGTTTTTGTTTGAATTCAAAGGTCTTTTTTTTTTCAGAATAGTTTGGATTGCTTACCACACATGTCACATGGTTCGAATTCAAAGGTCATCCGGGCTACTATATCTTAGTGACGTTTGGCCCCACGAAATCTGTGAATAATTTTAATTTGTTTTAAAGAAAAATAAAGGTTCATGGAATGCAAAGATGGTGCATATTAAATTTTGTATAAATTCTTTTACTATTCGAAATAATTTACAAACATGATGTGTATATTTTGTTAGACACACATGGGCAAATAAAACCCTGCTGAAAAAAATGTTTCGATGGATATAAAGGTACAATATGTTAGAATAATTAAATATATTCCACTATCCACAGATATAACTATTTTAAAATACCTAAATATATATTCATTAGTAGGGAAAAAAATACTCCATGCATTAGATAAATATATGTATACATATTTAATTCGTAAAAATAGAAAATGATGCAGAAAAACATAAATACAAATTTTAGCGACCGGAAAATAAAAATGGCAGTAAAGGAATTAAAGAAAAATGAAGCAAAAAGGGAAACCCCGATAAATTAATTTATGAAATCCATAAAAGTGAAGACAAAAAGAAATTCTAATAATAAGAAATAAAAAAATCCCACCCTAGCTAAAATGGTTCGGCCCCATGAGGATTCAAAATTATGTTGACCATGCTTATTCCACACAACGAGTGGCAATAGGAATTTTTCACCTGTGGATGGGATAAAAAGAAGAAGAAAAGATCCTCAAAAAGGACAAGAAAAGGTAGAATAAAGCAACTACTAACAAGAAGAAGAAAAGAAACACACATGGATATAAATTTACAGAATTAAAAAATGTAAATACAGAGAAAGAAAAGCAAGATGAAGAAGAAGCAAAAACCAAAAATGAAACTCCAAGAAAGAGATCCATCTTGCTGGGCTCGCCAACCAAGAGAGATCCATCTTGCAAAGAGCGGATATCAAATGTGAGTTCAGAAGCTTCCCGGCAAACATGAGCAGATAGGTACTGGAAAACACTTAGCTAATCAGATCATGCTCCAAGTTTAATATATTTGCAGGGCTATGGAATCCGTCTACTGGGGTAACAGTATCTCTCTGAAATATTATTTTCTGGACATATGTGTAGAAAAATAAACTCATTACGCATGAGTGCACAAGATGCTCCCAGATGTAGTGCAAAACAACCCTGGAGCGAAAATATCAATTTCAATTTATGTCAGCTTCGACCCGTGAAGGGGACAAAAAAATTAACTGCGACCACACAGATGAAAGTACCCCGGAACATCGACTGCAACTCCAAATTGAGAAAAATCCACATTTCAACCTTGAACTAACCAGGCAGTTTGATTTACAACCCTCATCTTTAAAACCGGCCATACTACACCCTTAACTTATCAAACAGTTCAAAACACAACCCTTACTCGGTTTTAGCCTGGTCAACTGGTTTTGACCAAGTCAAAGCTGACTAGGCAGCCAACTCAGCAGCCACACACGCACATATCCTAACCTAGATCTCTCTCTCTCTCTCTCTTTTTGCGGGTGTACCTAGATCTCTCTCTCTCTCACCCTCTCTCTATGTCCGTTCACACTTCACCCTGACCCAGCCACAACTACTACGCCGCCCTGGGCAATTCTTTTCTGCTTAATTAGTAGATAAGGCAATCTTTGCCACCGTTTTAAAAAAAATCCACGACATGGTAAAATAGAGAGGCATAAACAACTATCACCTGTAAAATAACATCAATGGCTTATATATTGGCGAAGGACAATGATTTTAGAAAAAAAGAAATTAGAAAAAAAAATAGAGAGGCATAAAACTAAAAATAAAAAATAGTGATGCAAATACATATTAAAAAGCAAACAATGAAAAAATATAAGCAAGAAAAGAAAGGAAAAACAAATTGTAGTTTTTGGGCGACCAAGCAAAAGGAGGGCACGTATGAATAAAAAACTCTTACTTCATCCTATAATGTAAGACGTTTTTTAAGACCAGTCGGAGGGAGTAGTTAACAGTGCTCCCATTCATATGATCCCTTTTAACAAACTGCACTCATCCAAAAACATTCATGCTTGGTCAAGCACAGCTACATAAGGCTCATCACGATTATACACAAAAGAAAGGCTCATCACAACTTTGTACTCTTCAAATCCACGACATGGTAACATGGCCTGGCAGCTTATCACGCATAGTAATTTCAATTTATGTCGCCTTTGACCGGTGAAGGGGGCTGAGAAAGTAACTGCGGCAGCACAGATAAACTACTCTCAAGCAGTGACTGAATCTCCAAATTAGCCAAACCACGCAAGCAAATCTACCAATTCAGAGTGCAAAATTATCGCAAAGGATGATATCATCAAACGGAAGATACAGATAAGCAATGATGCATTTTAAGATCATTTACTGACATAGCAATGACCACAATTGTACTTGAAAACTGATGGAGTCAACAGCTTCCATAGTAAACACCATATTTAGTTCAGGCAATTTACTGATACACATGGCAACTAACGGCATAAGCAAGTTATACTAACGCATTTCACAGCTTGCATGAGACCACCGAACACCATACCATTAACCTGTGAGCAGCCAGCAAAATAAACATCTATCGCATGGTCAGATAGCATGGGAGTAGCTTATATATAGCAACAACCCAACAACAATGCAACACCTTCAATTCAGTCCTGGGGGAATAGCCATGCTGCCAGACGCATCTCCTTGCGGCGCTTCCAGGAAATCATTGGATGAGGAGAAGAGATGTCGCCGAGTTGCATGTCATAGGCACTGCATTCTGTGTTCTCCTCGACGTAACTGTAGTCCACACGATACTCGTCATCATCGTCCAAGAAGAAGATGTGATTGCCCAACAACCCGTACCGAGACACGGCCACAGCCCTGGAGCACCTTCGACCCAGAAACAGCACCTGGTTATCCCCCATGGTCGACACCTTGATCCATCGCGAGTGCTCAAAATCAGCCTCAAATACCTCAAACTCGCTTTGTCCAGCAATAGCTTTACGAGGCCCTCCAGGTCTAATTTCAGGAACCTAGCACCAAATATTCCTGCGTACCATCAGCAACATGCCACGCGATTCAACCAGATAGAGCTTCTTGACGGGCAAACCGTTCTCTTCAGACGCAACATAGTATAACCTGAAATCCGCCTTGCCCTCGATGACCCTTCCAATCCGAGAAACCTGTGGATCGCCGGTGCTTTGGTCGTTGCTGATGTTCACCACAAGGAGGTTCTCGTCATCGTCAAGGGCATAGAGCTTGCCCTGGTAGAATGCCATGTCTTCAAAATCCTTACATTCATCACACGCGCGTACCGACCACGACAAGGCCCCTGGCTGGCAGATTAGGATCTGACTAGTGTGTTGAACGCCGACCAGTGCGGCAACAAGGTTTGACGAGCACAGGATTAGCTTAATTGCGTGCAGCTTCTTTGACTTATTGATATGCATCCATGTAGGGTAAGGGTCGGCATATTTTGACCCGTGCTCAAGTGACCATTTAGCGACTGCATTTGGAGGCCGGAGTCGGACGCTCGAGAGAGGAGGGAGCGTCACGACCGCCCTGGAGAAAGGGTTGACAAGGAAGCACCCATCGTCGCGGGGGAAGACAAGCCAGCTGCCACAGACGCTCTTGTACCCAGCAAAGCCGCACCCTGGAAAGCGGAAGGCCTTATCATAGGGGATGCTGTAGAAGGTGCGGTTTGGCAGCGCGAGCAGGGGCAGCGCAGGGGTCTGGAGCTTCTGCCTCGCGGCGGCGCGCCATTGCGGGCACACCGCAGCGAAGCGGGCGCGGTCGGCGTACGCGGGGAGCAGGCTGAGCACCAGGCCTGCCAGGTACAGCGGCAGGTCTGACCATAACGGCGGTGGCTGCGAGTGCGTCTTGTTCTCTGCTTCCATCGATTCTGCAAAGAAGAAACAACATCAGCAAAGAATGACGGCAAGACAACGTTTTTCTGCCGCGCAGAGGCAATAAGTCGAACAGCTGGTGTGCGTGACCAGACGCTGCGGATGCAGGGACAGAGACACCCCCTGTAGGCGATCGAGGGAAGAAGGAGAAAGGTGGGTGAGTAGAAGGAAGAGGCGGGGTACCAGGGAGAGCAGCGCCGTCCCGGTGCCAGAGCGGGGACGCCGGTGGCAGGCTGCCACTCCTGTTGCACCCCGGGGACGCCGGTGCCGGAGTGGAGTGTGGCTTCCCGAACGGGACCAAGTTTTTTTTTTTTGAGGGGTAAGTTTTTTTTGTGTGTGACCAACTGAGGGTAATTTTCGAGGGATGTGTGCAGCCCAGGCCCAGCTATATGGACCGGGCCCTTAATCGGCGCCCCCCAGCTCTTGGAAAACAGCATCTTAAAACCATTTTCTTTTCCAAAACCCTTAATTAGAGATTTGAACTAGTACAAGTATTTACATTTTACAAAATAATAATTTGTTAAACATTTATGAGGTCTGCTTAGGCAACTTGTTGCCTTTGGCCAAACCTTTGCAAGATATTTTAACAATGTGTCGACGCTTTTGTTTGGCCAAATTGTGGATTGTTTTGATCTTTAGAATTTTTTTAGTGCGATTGCAAGGCGCGTGTGCTTTTCTTCGCTGCCAGGATACAAAGGGGTTTACAATTCCATGGATGATTGCTCAAACTTTTCTACCTCATTTGGACTTTCTGTCTTGCACCATCTGATCATGCATGTCATCCAACATCTCCTTATATTCTCACTACCTTCGATTTTCTCATTCGTGTCTTCTTAATTTTATTCATCTCCGTGTTTACCCGGTACATGTGCGTCGTCGCCATCTCTCTCATTATGAACATCTTTGGTATCGTCACTGCCGTCAGATCCTCACCGTGTTATGTCCAACGCGTATAACCATCACTAAAACCCCTCTTCCACAAATGATATTCAAATTCATCTTTGTTCTTACCATTCTTGTTTTCTCCACATCTACGACATGGACAACACATCCTTTGTCTGCCATTGACCTCCATGTGTTGGAAGGCAACTTGAAGAAACCCTTCCAACTTTTCGATTCAGTCGCCCTATTCTCATACATTCATCTTCAAGCCATCTACACCAAGCATATAATTAGCGCTCCGTGTGGGAGAGAAAATAATTTCCCCACATTTATATAATATAATTGGAACAAATTCGTGTGCTGTGATTTTCTTCATAAATATCCTTAAATATGGTTCTAATATGTTGTCAGTGTGGAAAATACATTTAGGTATACAAATATTAATGTTCTGTATGTGTTTTTTTTTTTGAAGTGTTAGTCTATGAAATGTGTTTATCTTCTCCCACAAAATAAATAAACAAATGTGTTTATCTATTTAAGAACCACGCAACATGCTAATTTCACAAACAAAATGGGTTAAGACCGTCATTGCCCCTCCCTCACCAAAGCCGAACAAACCTTTTTGTAGTAGACAATAGGGAAATTGCTGTGCTAAGACCCCGTAAGACCAACACACCAGAGCAACAACTATCGCTGATGAAGAAAGTCCTAGATCGAAAGGATCAAACTTATAAATACTCAAATGAAGACGAACGAAGACCAGATCCAAACAGAACTATCGAAAATCAGCACCGACCGAATCCCACGAGAACCGACGAAGACACACCTCCACACACCATTCAACGATACTAGACGCACCATCAGCGTGGGGATAGAACGTGGGAGACATTATTCCTACGAATGGACGTCGCCGCCGCCACACAACCCTAACCAAGACGCTAAACCTAACAAGAACGAGAGTGGGGTCCCTCCCGTCGGCGAGGGGCCGAGATCCTCCGCACCTACATGGCCCAGAAGCCATCCGAGATGGGATAGACTGACGGCGGCACTGACGGGAGGAGAAAGAGTTTTTCTTGTGGAGGAGGAAAGAAAGAACTAATTAAAGTTATATTGATTCTAAAAAAATAAAAGTTTTATTGATCAAGTCATCAATAAACAAATTATTTTGAAATTGCCCAACAAAAAACTATCACCTGAAATATTTTGTAAAGACGAAGGACAAGAAACATACAAAATATAATTCAAAGAAGATATAAACAAATAATGATAAGAGAAGAGATATAAAAATATAAAAATAAAAGAAACAAAAAAGATAGAAGCGGGAATAGAAAGGAAAGTAAAAAACAAAAAAATGATTATTGGGTGACCCAGCAAACGCGGAAACGGAGGGGGCAGATGATTTTCCTTTTAGAAAAAATGTTGTACTCACCCAAAAATTAAAAGCAAACCTCACGCAAATGACTCAGTATTGTTTTCAAACGCAAATGACAAATAAATATATTTAATTCAAAATATTATCTACGCACATGTTCCACTGTCTAATAACTGTGTGGACAGCAAAAAGATGCTCTGTACTTGAAAAAAATCTTGAAATATGTGTTCAAACCACACAGCTGCACAAGGCTCATCACAAGATATCTACTTGAGCACAAAGCAAATCTACCACTATAGGGAGTCAGAGGCCACCAAGCCAAAAACATCGCAAATCTTCCATATGCACAACAGCCACGGCACTAGTTGAAAACCAATGCAATAACTTAGACAGTAACAAACCATAATTACTTCAGACGATTACTGATGCTCTGCAACCAACAGAGTAATCTAGTTCAGATAAAACAGACCATGTTCGCAGGCACAGAAACAACCACAGTACTAGTTCAAAAACCCATGCAGTTAACAACTTGCATAGTAACCACCATAATGAGTTCAGGCATTAGTACTGATAACCATACTAGTACTGCTAATGCATTTCATGGCTTGAATGGGTTCACTGAACACCATACCAACCAGTAACTACCATACATACCATGGTAAGATAGATAACATATGAGCAGCTTGCAAAATAACCACTGTACAATAACATCTATAGCACGGTCCGATAACCTGGTAGCAGCTTGCATAGAAATAACAGCGCTTCAGTCATGAGGGAAGAGCCATGCAGCCAGGCGCATTTCATCGCAACGCTTCCATGAGATCTCTGGGTGAACAGAACTGAACCCGCCAGATCTTATGTCATAGGTGCCAAAAGAAGCGTTCTCCTTGTCATAGCCATACTCCATACGATTTTCCTCATCATCATCCAAGAACGAGATCTGATCACCCAGGACCCCATACGGAGACAAGGACACAGCCCTGGAGCACCTTCGCCCTAGAAACAACACCTGGTTAGCCCCCACGGTCGACACACTGACCCACCATGAATGCTCAAAGTCAGCCTTGAAAACCTCAAACGCGCTCCATCCAGCAACAGCTTCACCATACAGCCCAGATTCAGGAACCCGGCACACAATCGTCCTGCGTACCATCAGCATTGCCCCACAGGATTCAACCAGGTAGAGCTTCTTGCAGAGCATAGCGTTGTTGGTGAACGCAATTGAATACCATGGATCACCCTTGATGACTTGTCCAATACGAGAAACCTGTGGATCCCCGGTGCTCTGGTCGCCGCTGATGTTCACCACAAGAAGGTTCTCGCCTTTGGTGAGGGCGTAGATCTTGCCCTGGTAGAATGACATGTCTTCAAACCTCTTGCACCGATCGTACGCACGTACTGACCACGACAAGGCCCCTGGCTGGCACATTAGAATCTGACTGGTGTATCCAATGCCGACAAGGGCAGCAACAAGATTTGGTGAGCACACGACTAGCTTACTTATGTGCAGCTTGTCTGAGTCCTTGATATGCATCCATGTGACATAAGGGTCAGCTACTTTTGCCCCATGCTCATACGACCATTTAGCGACTGCATTTGGAGGCCGGAGTCGGACGCTGGAGAGAGGAGGGAGCGTCACTGTTTCCCTAGAGAAGGGATCGACCAGGAAGCACCCGTCGTCGCGGGGGAAGACAAGCCAGCTGCAGCAGGCACTCTGGTACCCGGCGAAGCCGCAGCCAGGGAAACGGAAGGGCTTGGTATAGGGGAGGCTGTAGAAGGTGCCGTCAGGGAGCGCAAGCAGCGGCAGTGGTGGTGGCAGCAGCTGCTGCCTCGCGGCGGCACGCCACTGCGGGCAAACTGACGCGAAGCGGGCACGATCGGCGTGCGCGGGGAGCAGGCGGAGCACCAGGCCAGCCAGGTCGAGCGGGATGGACGACCATGACAGCACCGGCGGCTGCAAGTTGGGTCTCTTCTCTGCCGCCATCATCCCTGCAAAACAAAGAATCAACAGCATGAGTGAACGTTGCCTCGCTTTCCGACATTGAAGACACACCAAGAAGAATCACGGCACAACAGCATTTCCCTCGCGCAGAGGCAATGCGTCCAACACCTGGCGCTCATGGCCAGCGAACGCAGCGGGGCGGGACAGAAACCCAAACGGCCAAACCCCACAGGCCACAGCATTACCTCCCCGTGCGAACCACACTGCGGCGAAGCGGGCGCGGCTGGCGTACGAGTGGAGTAGGCGGAGCACCAGGCCGGCCAGGTCAAGCGGGATGGACGACCACGAGCGCACGGTCTGCGACTGTGATTTCTCCTCTGCCGCCATCGTCCCTGCAAGTGCAAAGAAACAAAATCATCAGCGATCGCTGCCCTTTCATCGAACATCGACCATCCAACATAACACAACGAGAAAAATCACGGCACAGCAACATCCCCGCGCAGAGGCAATGCGTCGAACGGCTGGCGCGCATGTCCAGCGGACGCGGCGGGAGCCGAGACGGAAACCCAAACCCCAGAACCCGGGCTAGCAAGAGAGGAAGAGGCTGGCGCCATAGAGCAGCGCCGTCCCGTTGCCGGAGCAGGCGTCGATCTGCCGTAAGCGCCTGATGGCCGGACGACCACGGCGGGCGCGGGGAGGAACACCCAACGGCCAAGGCCCCAGCTTCCATGCCCCTCCGAGCGAGCGAGAAATGCGGAAGAGGCGTCAGGAGAAGGGAGAGTCGGGTACCAGAGAGAGCGGCGCCGTCCTCCCGGTGCCGGAGCTGGGGTCGATCCGC